TTTTTTTTGAGATGGAGTCTTGCTCTTGTTGCCCAGGCTGCTGTGCAGTGGGGCGATCTCAGCTCACTGCAACCTCCGCTTCCCAGGTTTAAGCGATTCTCCTGCCCCAGTGCTCCCTAGTAGCTGACATTACAGGCATGCATGACCATGCCTGGCTAATTTTTGTATTTTTAGTAGAGACAGGGTTTCTCCATGTTGGTCAGGGTGGTCTCAAACTCCCAACCTCAGGTGATCCGGTGATCCGCCCTCCTGGGCCCCCCACAGTGCTGAGATGACAGACATGAGCCACTGCGCCCGACCCAAATTTCCTTCTTAGGACAGCCGTCACTAGGACCTGTCCTAATCTCTTATAACCTCACCTTAACTAATCACAACTGCAAGCACCCTACTTCCAAGTAAGATCACTTATGGAGCTTTACGGCGAATGTGGATTTGGGAGGAATGAGCTTCAACCCAGGACTGCGCCCTCTTCACTTTTTCATGTTTTACTTTTTTTTTTCCTTTTCTTTTTTTGGGGGGACAGGGTCTCGCTGTGTTGCTCAGGTTGGAGCGCAGTGGTGGGATCTTGGCTCCCTACAGCCTCCACCATCTGTGCTCCAGCAGTCCTCCCACCTCAGCCTCCCAGAGTGCTGAGGCGTGAGAGGATGGTAGGTATGAGCCAGTGCCCCTGGCCGGCTTTTTAATCCTACACCCTGCGGTGCAATGCACATGGTTTGAGCAGAAACCATGCTGATGGGATCACCTTTTCCTGACCACCTGTCCTTTCTTGGCCACTGGGAGCAGCCGTTCGCTGCCCTGGGAGGCGCCCTTGCTCTTTTGACCTCCTCCTGACTGACTTCCATTCTAAGTGGGGCAGCCTGGGCGGAGGTCTGATGGAGCCAAAAGTGTGTCTTCTATAAGAAATATGTTGGACATAGATGCTCGGTGCCGCAAAACAAAATCAGCACTGAGGCAAAGGATCTTTCAGCAATGCAGTTTTTATTTCCTGGGCTGCAGGAAGGGGACCCTCGGTAGCCATTGTGTCATGAGAACACAATGAACAAAGGAAAACACACACATGTATCCCGGACGCGTGTGGGGTCGTCCTTCCTGCCGTGTCTGAGCTCCGTGGGCTGGAGCCAGACCTCACCATCTAAACTAAAACCCGACGGGCTGACAACTTAAAACTTTTCTGAACAGGCGAAAGCCATGGAGAGCTGGGACACGCCTGTGAGCACGTCCAGCACGGGTATCTCGGTTAAAGTACAAGGACATAGAATGTCCTACGTGCCTGTGAGCACAGCGTGTCTAACAGCTACATAGTTTAGGGCTTCACAAAGAGTTTTTAGCACCCTTATTCTTTAACAAGAAAGGAAAGTTTAAAAAGGAACGTTTCTGCTTTCCACAAATGTGAGCAGCCTTTCAGCCATCAGCCCAGTGTCTCCTTCCCATGCGTACACTCGGGCTCTGGAAGGGCAGTTTTTCTGCTGAATTCCCCATTCTTCTGCCTTCCTGGCTTACGACTCACTCAGTCCCATTCAATGTTGAGAAGTGAAGAAGGGGCTCCTGGTCTCTCTGGAAGCCACGGCCGGTGGCGGCCTCTGTGCCTGTCTTCTGGGCTCAACAGTCATCCTGTAAACCTCAGCCCAGTGTGGGCTGGTGAGAAAAAACCACGCTAAACACATTGTCCAGCTATTTCCAAGAAAACGAAACATCCTTCACCACAGAAGAGCTGGTGCTCGTGTTCCCAGCTGCAACTTTTACTGACCAAAATGTCTTCTCTCTTTAGACAATGAAGACAAGAAACCCACAGCAACCCCCAAGAAGCCCAGTGCTGGTAAGAAAGATGTGTTCCTAGTGTGCAAAGAAAAAGAACAAACCATTTTCTCTGCCAGCAGGGCGGGACTTAGGCAACCAGAAAGAAGAGATGACTGATTGCAGTGTTTCGGATGGAGCCTGATTAAGATTTGAATTGTGTTGTGATGTTGATATTTCATGCAGTGATTCCAGTAAGAGAATGGTTGTGATGTGAAATGTTTTTGGAGCCGTTTGGGCAACATCTCTGGGTGCTTTTATTCTAAGGGTGTCAGTTACTCTGTCTGTAGTTTTGTTTTCTTATTTTTGAGATGGAGTCTCGCTCTCGTCTCCTAGGCTGGAGTGCAGTGATGCCATCTTGGCTCACTGCAACCACCCCCTGCCCGGCTTGAGCGATTGATTCTCCTGCCTCAGCCACCACGCCCAGCTGATCATTGTATTTTTAGTTGAGACGAGTTTTCACTATGTTAGTCAGGCTGGTCTCAAACTCCTGAGTTCAGGTGATCCACCCGCCTCAGCCTCCCGAAGTGCTGGGATTATCGGCGTGACCCACTGCACCTAGCCTTTGTCTTCAGATTTCTACTTCTGGGAGACAAAGAATTTGGTGCTGAGACCCGCCCCATAAAGACTAAGAAGTGGACTCATCTCTCAACCTGTGGGCGTACACCTCACTTCTTGTCTAGGCTGCTCTTTCAAACAAAACTCAAAAACAAGGGGCAAATAATGGAATTGCCCAAGGCTAAAGCCCATTGGTGGATAAACGGAGTAAAAATTGGCCAGGCGCGGTGCCTTACGCCTGTAATCCCAGCACTTTGGGAGGCCGAGGTGGGCAGATCACGAGGTCAGGAGTTCAAGACCAGCCTGACCAACATGGTGAAACCCTGTCTGTACTAAAAATACAAAAATTAGCTGGGCATGGTGGTGGGCGCCTGTAATCCCAGCTACTCAGAAGCCTGAGGCAGGAGAATCGCTTCAACCCGGGAGGCAGAGGTTGCGGTGAGCTGAAGTTGCACCACTGCACTCCAGCCTGGGCAGCAGAGCGAAACTCCATCTCAAAACAAAACAACAACAAAAAAACCCAGAGTAAAATGATGCCAAAACTTATGGCATCACTGTCTTGTCTTAGGACTTTTGATTTTTCTCATATAAAACATTAATAGCTCCACTTGATCACTGGACTTCCTGTCTATAGTGTCAGCTCATGAGCAAAGGGACCCCATGCCCCCAGAACCTTGAACTATGCAATCATCCAGACAACAGTAGTTTTGAGCGTCTGAATTTGTATGATCATGGTTTCCTTGAGGAAGGGAGTGTAAATTCCCATACGTGACTTAGCATGGCTCAGTACATGCTGTTAGGTGGATTGCCAACAAGCATTCTCAATCTTGGTTGGGTTTTCAAAATCGTTCTTCATACGAGAAGACAAGATCTGAAGCCATGGCGAATTGTCACGTCTGTTGTGGCGCCCGTGTGGGTTGCTAGAGGCATGTTCTAGACACCCTCTAGCCTAAATCCGATCACAGTCATGTTGTCCCCATCTCTTAGGGTCTACCTTTTGAAAGGTGTTCGGGACCTGGGAGGAGAGGATGGTAGGTTGGGGAGTCAACAGGAGAAAACCATGTGCACGCAGAGCTGGAGTTTCAACCCCGTCCAGGAGACACCATTGCTTTATAAATTATTCTCTCTCTCTCTCTCATTCTCCCTCCCCCTCCCTCTCCCTCCCCCCCCCCCCCCCCCCCCCCCCCCCCCCCCCCCCCCCCGCCCCTCCTCTGAGAGCCGCTCTCCTGGCTCTTTCTCTGTCTCTGCCTTTATTTTTTAACCCTTTTCATCTGAGAGAATAGTGATGCAAAAAGGGTCAGGAATTCACTTTTTCTGATGAGATCCTGGTCGAGCTGACATTCAGAAAAGTATTCAGGAAGATGGGGCTGTGGCGTTCTCTCGGTCTGTGTATGAGCTGGTTCCTTCCTGGTTTCTCTCTGAAATTTGGTGTTAACTCCTCTTTTCCGTCTTTTAGGGGATGACTTCGACTTAACGGATGCTCTTGGTGGTGGAGGACACAGTGAGTATCTCCTTTCGTCTCCTTGGTAGCTGACCTGCTTATTATCACCAAATGATGATCGTTTTGGAGAGAATTATCCCATTTAAATTATAGCGGGAACGGGTTTTCGCAGTGGAAACCTAGGGAATAGCTGTGTTGGTTTGTTTCTGCTGTTGCCGTTGGGACTTTGCTGACAACCTGCGTGTGTGCGTGTATTTTAAGACTCTTATAGTCTTTAAAAGAAGGACATGAGACGAATGTGCTGTGGGAAGTAGAAAAGTTCCTTTTTAAACTTTCCTTTCTTGTTGAAGAATAAGTGTGCTAATAACTCTCTGGGAAGCCCCCTCCTATGCAGCTGTTAGACACGCCGTGCTCACAGGCACGTAGGACATTCTACGTCCTGTACTTTCACCGAGATACCCGTGCTGGACGTGCACACAGGCGTGTCCCAGCTCTCTGTGGCTTTCACCCGTTTTTAGTTTTAAGTTGTCAGCCAGTCAGGTTTTAGTTTAGATACTGAGGTCTGGCTCCAGCCGGCGGAGATCAGACACAGCAGGAAGGACGACCCCCAAATGCATAGGGAATAAATGTGTGTGTTTTCCTTTGTTCATTGTACTCTTGTGGCAAGATAGGGGTCCCCTTCCTGCAGTCCAGGAAGTAAAAATTGCATTGCTGAAAATCCTTTGTCTCAGTGCTCATTTTTCTTTGTGGCACTGAGCATCTATTTCCAACATGTGCCTGCCTTGGCCATGGCTGGCTTCACGAGCATGTGACCCGTGCAGTGGCACGGGACCCTGTGCCATATTGGTTTCACGTGGGCGCCATATTGGTTCACTGATGTGACCGCTATCTTGGAATACTTAATAGAATATGAAAAATGAGTGCCACAGTTTTATTTTGGCCCCAGAAATTCTGTAGCTGGTGTGGAGGCCACTTTCATTTTTTTTCTTAATTATACTTTAAGTTCTGGGGTGCATGTGCAGATCGTGCAGGATTGTTACATAGGTATACACGTGCCATGGTGGTTTGCTGCACCCATCCCCCTGTCATCTACATTAGGTATTTCTCCTAATGTTATCCCTCCCCGATTCTCCCACACCCTGCTCTCCCTCCCCAATCCACCTACCCCCTGCTATCCCTCCCCTATCCCCCCCACACCCCCAACAGGTCTCAGTGTGTGATGTTCCCCTCCTTGTGTCCATGTGTTCTCATTGATCAACACCCACTTATGAGTGGACATGTGGTGTTTGATTTTCTGTTCCTGTGTCACTTTGCTGAGAATGATGGTTTCTAGCTTCATCCATGTCCCTGCAAAGGACATGAACTCATCCTTTTTTTATGGCTGCATAGTATTCCACAGTGCCTGTGTGTCACATTTTCTTTATCCAGTCTATCATTGATGGGCATTTGAGTTGGTTCCAAGTCTTTGCTACTTTAAATTAAGAAGCGTGGCTCAAAGTTGAGAGGAGGAAATTGGCAGGAGGCTCTCTGTGTACAGGTATCCCTGCCGGGATAAAGGACAAGGTCCAGTTTCTGTTCAGGGAACCATCTCTACGTAAACTGTTGTTTCATTTTCTTTACTGCAAGGCACTTACAATTGCAACTCTCATCTTTCACAAACAGATGACCCAGCCCCACCGAACCCACCCAAACCAAAGCCAAATCCACACCCCAACCAGCCTAGTTCCACTGGTAAGTGCCGCTGGCCCTGTGGGATGTCTCCATAGTGTTCAGAATTCCGTAATATTTATGTCAGCTGAGAGGAGGTGATTTCCGATGAGTGTGTGCTGACTGTTGACTGCCGGTACAGGGTAAGGCCCCTGTTTACATAGTGGAAAATGTACTTTTCCAAACATATGTTCAGCTTGGATTTTACTTTTAGTTTGCTCCTTTTTTTTTTTTTTTTTTTTTTTGAGACAGAGTCTTGCTCTGTTACCCAGGCTGGAGTACAGTGGCGCCATCTTGGCTCACTGCAACCTCCACCTACTGGGTTCAAGTGATTCTCCTGAGTCAGCCTCCAGATTAGCTGGAGTGACAGGTGCACGCTGCCGCACCCAGCTAATTTTTGTATTTTTAGTAGAGACAGGGTTTTGCCATGTTGGCCAGTCTGGTCTCGAACTCTTGACCTCAAGTGATCTGCCCACCTTGGCCTCCCAAAAGTGCTGGGATTACAGGTATGAGCCACTGCGCCTGGCCTAGTTTGCTACTGTTACTTCCAAGTTCCATCTTATGGAACTTCTGAAAAATTGAATCCAAGAGTTTAAATATAGACTAGATATAGAGAAAAGTGTTGGCATACACATTCCTTACGGAGAAGCTAGTGTGTTTTAAATCTTTTGGCTTTTAAATATTTAAGTCAGTTTTTCTGACATATCACAGCATTTTCAGAGTAGCTTATTTGAATAGCACCAGTTTTTTTTTTAGCTGAATAGTTGTTGAAAGTTTATTTTTTTTTAGTTATTTTTTTTGTTTATGTATTTAATTTTTAATAATGTCCATATCTTACTGACATTTTGATGGATTTTTATATCTCTCTCTCTCTGTGTGTGTGTGTGTGTGTGTGTGTGTGTGTGTGTGTGTGACAGAGAGAGAGAGGGGGAGAGAGAGAAATGGGGTCTCTGTTATCCAGGCTAGACTACAGTGTTGTGATCATGTTGAATTTAATAGTGTACCACAGCCTCAAACTCCTGGGCTAAGGAGATCCCCCTGCCTCAGCGTTTCAATTAGCTGGAGCTACAGGCACACAGCACCCCTCAAACTCCTGGGCTAAGGAGATCCCCCTGCCTCAGCGTTTCAATTAGCTGGAGCTACAGGCACACAGCACCGTGATCAGTTAGTTTTTTATTTTTTGTGGAGATGGGGTCTCAGTATGTTGCCCAGGCTGGTCTGAAACTCCTGGCCTCCAGTGATCCTTCCACATCAGCCTCCCAAAGTGCTGAGATTACAGGCATGAGCCACCTCACCCAGCCTATATATTAATGTAAATGAAATAAATTTTAACTAAAGTTCCAAGGTTTTTGTTTATACTGCATTATAACATGACCTTTTGCTTACTGATATTCTGTGAACGTTTTTTCATGTCATTTCATCATTTTTGTTGCATGATTTTTACTGATGATCATGCAGTATTACCTACTACATATATAATTATATACTTTATTTAACTAATACCTAATTCTGAAAATGTCATGTTTCTTCTGGCAGTTTAGAATTTTGAACGAACAAGGCAAACCCAAGTCAACTCCATGCACGATTTTTATTCCTTTGAGGAAATTTGTAGCATTCAAATTGTTTAGATCAATGTGTATAAGTACTATTTTTTTTTGAGACAGAGTCTCACTTTGTCGCCAGGCTCCAGGCTGGAGTGCAGTGGTGTGATCTCGGCTCACTGCAACTTCCATCTCCCAGGTTCAAGCAGTTCTCCTGCCTCAGTCTCCAGAGTAGCTGGGACTACAGGCACGTGCCACCACACCCAGCTAATTTTTGTGTTTTAGGAGAGACAGGGTTTCCCCATGTTGGCCAGGATGGTCTTGATCTCTTGACCTTGTGATCTGCCCACCTCAGCCTCCCAAAGTGCCGAGATTACAAGTGTGAGCCGCCACGCCCCGCCGTGTATGAGTATTTTTATAGCTTTTGACCTGGTTGTTAGTTTGCTGCAGAATTTTACGAATTTATTCTGATGCCAGGGGTCTGTGCAAATGTGCCTGTCTTCACACCGCCTCCAATATTAGGTATTACCTAGGGAAGCTTTGCAAACACCGTGGAGTGCGATGGCAGCTTTGTCCCTGTTTCATGACTTTACTTCTAAAATTAAAAAAAAAAAAAATGCATCAGTTGGCTGTGGATACTTCTTTTGTGTACTGTATACTTTGCCTTTTAGTCTTATATTCTGATGTGACATTATTGATGTATAAGCCTTCTTCATTTATTTATTTATTTATTTATTTATTTTTTTATTTTTTTGGGACGGAGTTTCGCTCTTGTTACCCAGGCTGGAGTGCAATGGCGCGATCTCGGCTCACCGCAACCTCCGCCTCCTGGGTTCAGGCAATTCTCCTGCCTCAGCCTCCTGAGTAGCTGGGATTACAGGCACGCACCACCATGTCCAGCTAATTTTTTGTATTTTTAGTAGAGACGGGGTTTCACCATGTTGACCAGGATGGTCTCGATCTCTTGACCTCGTGATCCACCTGCCTTGGCCTCCCAAAGTGCTGGGATTACAGGCTTGAGCCACCGCGCCTGGCGCCTTCTTCATTTATTTATGGAAGTTAAATATTGCAGCATGCAATGTTATGCTCATGTTTTTCCACTTTATTTATGTTTTGTTTTGTTTTGAGACTGAGTTTCGCTCTTGTTGCTCAGGCTGGAGTGCAATGGCATAATCTCGGCTCACTGAAACCTCCATCTCTCAGGTTGAAGTGATTCTCCTGCCTCGGCCTCTCGAGTAGCCGGGATTACATGTGCCTGTCACCACACCCGGCTAATTTTTGTATTCTTAGTAGAGACAGGGTTTCACCGTGTTGCTGAACAGGCCGGTTTTTATGAGTTTTTCCTTTATTCTGAGACGCGAAGAGCTGTGGAGGAGTTCTGGGTTGACAGATGATTCTTTATTTTCTTTCCTAGGAGGCTTTTCAGATGCTGATCTGGCGGATGGTGTTCCTGGTGGAGAAGGTAGAGTTACCCTGTTTCCTGTGTCTTTCCTCTCTCCATCCCATGATGCCCACCTTCTCTACAGAATCACTGCAGGGTCTACACTCTCAGCCCTCCATGAACTCACAGTGAAATGTTTGGCCATCTCTGTGGGAACTCTGCCCTTTCACTGAGGCTTCAAGGCTGTGGGAAGTAAAGGCTGCCCTGCAGAGGTTCGGTCCCTGGAAGAAGAGCTCAGGGCTCTGGCAGCTGCCCCACTTTCCTGAGGGACAGGGCCGGTTGCATGGACCCTTCTCGCCACCTCCTCACCCCTCCGTTCACCTGTGTTCTTGCAAGTAGCTAGTGTTCTTTCAGCTTTATTAGGTTGTTTTCTGTAATTTAAGGAATATGAACACGAAAGCCCTGAGAATAAAGTCATAGTGCCTGGGAATGCGGGTTCTCAGTGGACCCTAGTGTGACGGGCGGCACCCCAGCTCTGCAGCCGAGTCATGTGAACCCCCACAGAGTGTGAC